AATCAATTGTCATATAGAAAATCAATTGCAGGTAATTATGGAGTTCACCCCAGCAGTTTGAAATTGATTGTAAAATCGATTGACGACTCCAAAACGAGTGGAGCTTAATTGAAAAGCATTGTGGTATTGAAGTAGTTTTCAAGAGACAAATGACCGGGAGGAAAATTTAATCATGAAAGAAGGGATTAGAAGGCCGAATTCTCATCTGCTTATGCCCCAACAGTATTAGAGTCCTCTGCAAACGTCGGCGCCCTTCATCAATGGTGACGCGTTAATTAAGCATTGTCGTTAGATAGCTTTCGCCGGGGTAAACCCCCACCGGTTGTAAAAGGAACACTATATACACTAGACCATATGGTAAATTGCTGGTGGCATCCAAGTGGACCCACCCCCTTTGCACTGTCTCATCTGCACTATAATAACACTCTACGTTTAATCGGAAAACCATTGCCCTCCCACACCCACCGGATAAACTCTCGTCAGGGCACCACCAGGATGTCTACCCACATTAATAACCGGAGCCTATTACTTTATACATATGTACGTATTTTTCATTTGATAAGTTGAGCTTCCAATATCTGTCCCTAGATTTCAATTTTGGGAACGATCTACTGTGCGTAAAGTATTTTATGCCATCGGTCCCCGTAATCACGCGATTCTATCACGCAATGACATAAAATTTTGTATGAAACGCGTGCGTAATATATTTTTCGACTCGTGGGATTGTAAAACTCGCCTTCGGCTCGTGTTACAAACCTCCCACGAGTCAAAAAATATATTACGCATGTGTTGCATAATATACTATGGTTGAATAAACTTTCTGATGAAAATGAAAAATTTGGGGTGCTTTTACATTGAAACACGATAACACTTCTTCCGCTATTTAACTTTAACTCTATTCTACAACTTGTAGATTTCAAGAGAAAATAGTTTTTCAATCAGTCGAAGTTTTTCTTTTTTGGAATATTCAAATGAACATTATTCGAAATATTCAGTTGAAGTTGTGAATAGGAAACAATTACGAAGTTTCGTAAGTGAACTGTTCCTATTCATACCAATATATACTAAATCTTGGTAAGTCTAAGTCTACGGGCAGATTCTGACTGAGGAATTTTCACAATCAATAGTTAGTGTACTCGGGTATATAAATAATTTTAGGGGAACTAAAAAAGTAGCGCTTCTGCTTACTCACACTTTGGCCCCTCAGTGCTTAACACACAATAAATTCAGCCTTTCGAGGTGGGTTGGAGTTGGATAGCTCAGTTCGGAGAGCACCCGATGTATGATCGAAAGATTCAAATTCGTCTTATAAAAAAATCCCATGTACAATTATCATGTTTCCCTTCCTACCTACTCCAAAAATCTACCCAACGATTTCATGTAACGTCGCAAAATGTGGAACGCCATATAAACTTACCGTCTTCTATGACTATCCGGTTTTATCGATTTTCTCATTTTTGTTAATTTTCACACCTTTATTCATGTTATATCTCATCACCCTACTGCTACTCTTTAATAAAATTCCAAAGTACCTTGTCTATTCTAACCTCAAGTGAATTTACCGATTTTAGTCGTTCAATTGTCACTAGTTGGGATTTTGACCTAAATACACTCCCACTGAACGTGAAATAATTGGACGTTTTTTGCGATGCTCTGTGTAGGATCGATTTCTTCTAGTACTATTACTTCTCTTCATCTACTACTACTAGATTTTCAGAAGTATTCTACCACATTGCGTATAACAACACCTGTTAGGACTACCTGGTCTTTCTAGATGTGAAACTTGTTTGCAATACAAAGATATTTTTCTGTTTTTCACCAATTCGAGTTTCTAGCGTCCGTAACGCAATGAAACATATCTTCTCATAGACCGAAATGCAATGACTGTTCAAATGCTAGTTCCTTCTCACAACCTTTTTTTTCCACCATATTTTTCAATGTTGATTTTGTAATTTTATTACATCAAATTTCAACTTAATCACTGATTTGAATTTTTATTCACTCATAAGTCAACTTCCCAATTTGGAGTGAATATCCGTTTTAATTTCAACAAAATCTCAACATATTCAGATTAACAGATTGCTGAATGAATTCCTCCGATTGATCTAACACTATTCGGGAGATATTTATAAACATCCGCACAAAATGGTATGAAGTAAGGCATAAGCTTTTCCTTCTTCCAATTATGATTTTATATGCCTGATCAAGAGACCAAACCCCATAAATCCCACCAAATATTACACAAATGGAAGGGAGTGAAGTTTTACTAGCCATCTCCCAAAATTAATATTAATCTTCTCTAAAAAAAATTATAAGTAACAAAAGTTATATGTATAAATTTATTAATCGTTATTTCAGGAATCGATGCTGGCAGAAATCCGGAGAAACAAGAGTTTCAGATTCAGGCTGTGTTATCTCTCCATCAAACGATATAAATTGTAGTAATTGTATTAACATGATCCAAAAAATTAATGGAGAGCGAAAACCGCCTATCATTGGGATATACAAGTTATAATCAAAAAATTTTGAATGTCACATAGTTAAGGCGATTTTTATTTATTCTAAGTAATTAAAATAATGGTGAAAATGCATCTCTCCCTTCCCACATAACTTTCCTTCAATTCCTCACTGGTATTCGTTAACCTGCGCCTCGATACATGCATTATGCCTTCTCACCGGTACATTGCCGAGAATTGGGGGATGGAGTGAGGATTGTCGATGGTTCAGTAATGGTGTCAGTGCTTTTCTCAATTTTCCCGATATTTCCAGGAATCCTGATCAAAATTTTATCAGTTGCCTTCATTTTCAACAAGACTTCACCTTCACTTTTGCATAATCGGAGTTACAACCCTCTTTGACCATTGATATTAATCTCAGGAGAGGAGAAGTGAAACGAAGAATAAAAAGGACAATAGGAATGTATGAACTGAAAATGAGAATCAACCAAGACGGCTCAATGAACCGTAAATTTGAAAAAGGGGATAAGAATGTGATCGCCGGTGGGAGCGTTGAGAAAGAAGAGAAGGGAACTAAAAGTGGATGGAAAACGGGAGAAAGAAATCTCGACTTAGAGTAGCTTGAAGGCGTATCATGGAAGCTCCGCCTGCAAGCTCTTTTTGAACACGCCCAGGTGACACGCCCAGGTACTTTGCAGTAAGCATGGGAGGAGATGGAGAGAAGAGGGACATGGTGAGTTCATCCATGTTAAAGTATTGTACTGTTTTGGTACCTTCATGGGTATGCGTTCGCTTGTTAGCCCCTCCTCGATAAGTGAGAGATGATGGAGAGACTAACTGGAAGTTTTTGAAAAGAGGGAGGATCGAATGGAGGATGGAAGTTTTGTGTAAATCGCGATATTTGTTATCCACTGATGCATTTTGGTCTAACATACTGATTATAAGAAGAAGATGAATAGAAGAGCAATTTACAGGCAGTGAATGCAAACTGCAGTTGAGTATTCCTTTTTGAGCTTCATTAGTTCAAAATACCGGTGGCTACTACAAATAAACACTGTGGAGGCTATCCAGTAATTTATATCGGTTGAATGATATTTTTTAGTCGTTAACAAATTGCTTAATTACAAGTGAAAGTTAATTCGAATGAGAAGGTTTAAGAAAATATATTGGGTCCTATAGACATCCATAAACTTGGCTTCCTTACAGTAAATAATCCTTTTGATTAGTGGAGGTTTCCTATACTAGTAGCATTTAGAGTGTACTGCGATAAGGAAAGATCTAAGCAGAAATGTTACTTGCCCCAAGTTATTATAGAAATACTGCAACGAAGAAGCAGAACCTATTAACGTTTCTCCTTTGACTATTTCTAGGAAGGCGATGTCATTTCAAGGCATGAAAATGAGTCCAAATATTTGTGGAATTAGAGCCTACAGCTAAAAGAAGGAAATCGATCAAATTGCGCATTCACCTTGCCAATCACTTGTTCATCCCCAGAAAGTACTAACCGAGAAAAGAATGAAAAAGTGCAGATGGGGCGGGATGAGACTCTCGAATCCTGTGAAAGTGCGCGCGACGCTGAAGGAACGTACAATCCTGAGAGGGTTGAATCGCCAGAATTCCCTTATGCGAGTTGGTCGACAACTTATAATAGAAGGAGAGTGAGATAGAACGGCGAAACGGTTGGTAGTGGGGCTGATTCGGGGAGTTGCGCGCGCGAGAGTAGACATAGAGTACACGAGGGAGCATTTTCAAGTATACAGTGGGGGTCGCCAGACGGAGCACCGCAGTGCTCCAGAACGCACGTTCCTGTGTCTTCTCGCTTCCCGCTTCTCGCTTGTCATCTCAATTTGTCGTTCTCACCTTTTTCCTTATGTGCGAGAATTCAAGCCGTTCGAATCGTATATTCATTTTTCCCTGAGGACATCAAAGATAAAAGCTTTCCATTCTATTCGCTCCTATTTTATTATGTACATTTAGTTCTGTGAGGCAAGTTTATGTAGTTTTTCAAAGTGCAGTTATCGAAAAATAGCCAAGATTTGACGGTTTAACACACTCAGATATTACAACTTTAAAGGTGAACAAGGAGTGCTATGTGAATACAACAATTGACTTAAACTCTGTCAAACCCCTGTTGCATCCAATACCTCTCACACTTCCAGTTATTCCGCAGAAAAAAATATGTGGGAGATGTTTATACAATAGAATTCATTTATTTGCCAGATTGTGATTTTTAGTACGAGGAAAAAAATTTGGTGAAATTGTGGGAAAATAATTGGGGACACGATAAAAACAGTAATAGATTGATGTATATGGGAATTATCGAATTCGTGGAGAGGAAGGGCTATATGGACTATTTTCCAAGTGCCAAAAGTGAGTGTCCTATTTGAGGAACGTGTTAAGACTGTTTAGAGATACGTGGCATGGATTTTCAAAGCGCTATGGAGACTTTTGCAGAGGCATGGGTGGCTGCTAACACAAAAACAGACCCAGTGCAGGTAAAAATGTGTCATTAATTTTTTTATGCGAAGGGTCGGATTCATTCAAATGCTCACTAAAAACTTTCAGTCACCGAATTGTGCAATTAGACAATACAAAGGGAAGCAAAGGATGAGTTTATAACAAACTTATTTTTGATTAATTCACGTGATGTATCCATGAATATTTTTTTAGAATCGTGTTTTCTAAACACGATGAAAATCGTAATGAGTTCTGAAGAATTCCGGATTTATTTGTTATGTATATTCGTTAAACAGAATTTTATAATGGATACTGCAAAATACAATCTGTAAATCGCATAAACATTTCTACATTGATGTTCGATTTGTGCAATTGCACTAATAATTCATATGACTTTCAATATTTTACATTATCCCATCTAATTCCTCACACAAAAACTGATGTAACAAATATCTCCTCGCTTTCTTGTAAGAAAATGAACGCACCAAGCCGAGAAAATTGTTCGATCTCGAAAAGTTGGGGGCCGTACCCATTTGCAGCGATGGTAACTGAAAAAAACGTGATGATTTTGCAGCTCTGGTTTTTCATATATCGTAATATGAGAAGCGAAAACTTTTTTAGTCAACTAATGTTGATGACATTACGAGATGACGAATCAAGATAGTCTGTGTGATTCTGCAGTGTAATTATCGGTGAAAATATTATCTCTGGAACACAATTCTAGCTTCAACACTCATCAAATTTGTCTCTGAATATTAGTTAAATAGAAACACAGCCAACCCATCTGTCATTACATTTTCTTAATCAAAGAAACTCGAATCGTTTATTCATTACGACGCTAGCAAGTAACACTGTCCGAAAGGACCTGATTATTTTGAAGCGATTGTAGTATTATAAATAGAATGAATGCAGTGTATATTCCAAAAATTTTCCTTGATAATTAAATATCATGTGGGACTCATGTTAAATATCATTAACATTTTCATAAATCATTCTAATTTGACATTGGAATTATACCATTAGATGTCCTAGCGACAAAATACGTGGAATCAGTAGAATATTCCATTAAATTTAATCTGAAACCAAAAGATTGGTAAACGCTATCATTATTTCTAGTTAACAACAATATTCTACACTATTTTCAATTAGTCTCCATTAAAGACGAGTGAAAAAAGGATTATAAAAGGATCACAATGAGAGACTGATCGAAACACTTAGTCTGTAGTTTTTCAGTTATGTTATGTTATGAATATATGTGGACTTGATCAGGCCAGACAGATCGGGCCAAAAATATGAGTATCTAATGGACGGAATCGAAAATATTTATCAGTGATCACTGAGTTTCTTTCACTCTATTTCTTAATTTTTAATAAATCCTTACCATCATTAACGCAGAACAACCAATTCATCAATTCATTTATTTTTGCCGATGCTGAGGATTTTTTCGTATTTTTCGCGCACAATGTACAATATCTCATATACTGAACAAAATGATAAATTCGTATCGAAAAGAAATTAATGAATTTTCGATAGTAGGATTTCACCAAAATAGTAATATCATCTCAAACTACATTTTTCTTTGAATTATATTTGCATCTTGTTGAAAAAAATTCCGTCAACACCGATTAATGCAGTATAGGTACCCTGCATTTGAGGGAGGCATGATAGAGGGTTACTGTTGCAGGACACTTGTCTGTTTGAGCCGCCCCTTTCGACCATTTACACAGGCAATTTGCCACCCTCTCACATTTCAGGGGTGTTCAGTGCTCCAAAACCCCCTTCCTCGATAGTGTAGTTATTCCTGAGCGAGCACTACGAACGAACCATGAGATGTGAAAATAAATTGATAAATGCGAAATCCATCATAAGCCATAGAATATTTGAAGGGTTTATGAATGCATTTATTAAATCCTTTATTTTTACTTTCATTCTTCATGAGCACAGCGAGATCAAATTATATTACTTCAATTATTGTTGGAAAAGTTTCTCTTTGGTGAGTATAAATGAAAAAATACACCTTATAGAATTTCAATAACAAAGTAGTCAAGTGAGGTATGCGGGGTTTTATAATTTTATTGAGTGTCATGATTTACAAAAGAACAGGATTTTTAGCCAGTTATCGAGTAACTTTTTTGATTATTTTTCCGACCCAAATAATAACCAATAGAATTGCATCATTCGATGTCACATGGTACAGTCTGCATGGTACTGTAATGATGATTTTTTAATAATTCCCTCTGGTAGGTGCTATATAAAAAACAAAACATTATCCTCTCTTCTTACTTTATATTAATTGCTTAATTATTTTTTAACCTGAAAAACTTGACTTCTTCGTTTGTTTGCAATGAACCTATTGGGAAATGCCCGATAATTTGGAAGTTCTTGTGATGTTATGAGTGAAAATTGTATAAGCGGGAAATAATATAAAGTTTTAGCGTTTTGTGATTTTTGAATGGACTACCAAGTTTCGTGGCGATCCAAAATCATTTTCATGCTTTTGCCTATAGTTTTGAGATTCTTTTTATAAGTTTAAAAAAAAACCAACAAAGTGTTCGCACCACGCTAAAACTTCGTAAGTCATTAAGGTTGTTGTCGCGTAGAATTTTTTTTCGACAGTTTTCGTTAAGAATTTTATGGTAAATAGTTTGAAAAATTAGCCAAATAATCAGCCTTTTTCGTTTGCAATTGACCGTTTTGAACTTGAGATATAAATTTTTGAAATTCGACTGATTTAACACGTGTTTAAATGGAGTTTTGCCGATTAGAATTTTTTAAAAATCAACGGCTCGACAGTTCCAGAAATAAAAAAAAACGTGGAATATACATCGTGGGAGGAAATACAGAAAAAAAAATCAAATCGATTGACCGTTTGGTTTACGGAATATAATTATCGGAAATTCATAAATTTATATAATTGAAAATAGTTAATATGGAAAATATATAGTTATGCTTTAGCTATCCATGCACAATGCAATCAATCAAGTGAGACTATATACCGCTAAAAGATTGTGTTCTAAACTGGCCCGTTTTACAGCGGATAAACTTTTTACAGAGACTGTCGCGCGACAACAACCTTAAATAATGACAAAATGCCACAACGTTGACTCTTTGAAGAAGTTTCGAACTGACCCAGTCAGCAAATGGACCAACCTTGCGTGACATTGCTATTCAAGATAAATCAAGGGTTACGGGAACTCTTTCATTACAAAGAATTTATTTGCATTTGTTCCAAAATAGCAGAATTACTATACTCAGAATATGACCAGTCATATTCAGAAAGAGGAACCAATTACATTGAAAAAACAAAATTCAATCAATGCATCTGTTCACAAATACTACCCATACATGAAAAAAAAATCAAAATACTTTCAGAGGTTATGAAAAGGAAGGCATATTCCATAGAGAATAATATCATTCGTTTGCCAAAAAATCACTGTTCTACGATTTTTCGTTACAGCTAGAAAACTTGAAAATTCCGGATAGAGTTGACTTGATTCAATTATTTAGGTACTAGTATTGAAGAATTGAATTGAATAGAGGATTGTCATGTGACTATGACAAGGAATGGAGAATTATCGAATACGCTCGATTTATTTGTGGGGGGTCACGGATTTCTGACCACTTTACGGATGTGCCCCTGCCTTCTTCCTGCGGGTCCTCATATTCACTACCCTACCACTCTTACTCGCACGAAAACCACATATATTCAAATAATTATATGTCTCATATATACACCATATGACCTACGTGTGGGTGATATAGACGTGCTCGCATGTGTGCAGTATAAGAGCGTGATTGATGAATATTTCACATATATATGGTTTTCTGTGCAGCTACGCGTACAAATATGCTCTCTTATATGTAATCATCCATGCATCAAAACTGTAATACAAATACTAATACCCCCCGTGGAAATAAGTCTGCAATATCTTTAAAAAATCTTTGGAAGAATTTTTGGAATATTCTTCTGAAGATCTTGTTGAATCAAAAAGAACATCAAATGGAATACTTCGGAAGATATTCGGAAAAATTTCGGAATATCTTTGGGAACAATTTTTATTCGGGAAGATCTTTGTAAGACAATTTGTTTTAGAGATCTTCTAGAGGCCATTTTTTTTTGTTCAATCTTCAGAAGACGTTTTGTTCAACATTGTTTACCCTTTAAATTTTTACTTTAATGAACGCGCAGTAGTAGTTCAGCTAGTAGGTGGCCGTAGGTTCGATTCCCAATTCGTTTTGGGTTTTTAAGGGTCTGGCAATAGCCCAGGCGAAACATGACGACTGGCGCCAATTGTCAAATTTTTCTTTCCGTGGGATGTCATAATATTCATTTGAATTTACTGTTGTATGAAAAATTCTGATACGGCCTCTGAAATTATCTGCGTCGATACCGTAAGTTCTGATTCTAAAATTCATAATTTTTACTGCATATTCTTCTACGGGGGTTTGTTTCGATCTCAGCATCCTACAAGTACTATGTATAAGACCCGAACTACTGACTAACTTTATAGGCTAAATCGTTTTTATTCTGGCAAGGAGCAGGACGGGTCAAACTGGCAAACTGTCGATACATTGCAAGCCGGTCACATGTACGCCATTATTGGCTAAAGTTGACATCACTACCGTGTCAATAGCTGTCACGGCATCAGTTTCACTATTCGTTGAAACTCATATGATACCACGCTTGGGTTCTCGGCAATGAATTCTTCGACCATTACCAATTAGTCTACATAAACAAGGCACATGAAGTGCAATTACAGCGCGCGTCAGGACTCTTTAATCCAGAAAATGCCGTGTCAGACTGTCGTAGATTTTGGATCAATCACTATTACAAGAGCATTTGAAAACACGGAAAGAAAAATTCAATAAAAATGACACATAAAATTTATGCAATATTACACAAAAATTATTGAACATGATGATTCCTGAATTCCCTGTTAAACTTTACACTTTCCAGAAAAATTACATGATTTTTTCGTAGTCTTTTGCTGACAAACCCATAAATTTATTGAACGCTTCAGACTTATCTTATATACCT